GTTGTTTTGTTATTTTTTTTCAATGACATTAATATGTTATAGACACGGTTGAATGAAATTTACCAATTAAGACCAGTCCTAGGTTGTCTAACGGAATGTGCTCGACGATGTTAATCTATAATGAACAAAGTTAAATGAAATCCACTTAGGATGTAAGACAAATCCTAGGTTGTTTAGTTAAAGGTGCTTGACAAAATTAAAATATCATGGACAAAGTCAAATGAAATCTGCTAAGAATAAAAGAGTCATCCTTGGTTGTTTAGCTTGACGTGCTCGACAACTTTAACATATTATGGATAAAGGCAAATGAAATCTACTAAGGATGTAAGACCCATCCAAGATTATTTAATTGAAAGTGCTCGATGACATTAATTTTTTATAAATAAAGTTGAAACAAGTCTCCCTAAGATTAGTTAACTTAGAATAAGGTGCCAAAAATGTTCCATATTTCTCGAGTCTAGGGCACAGGTCAAAATGGACCATATTATTTTTTCTGAAAATATGATTGCAATCATATTTAAGAATGATGTTTGAAAAATTTTTATCATTGCTTTTTATTTTATTGCCTCCAAGTGAGGTTGTCATTCACATAACTCTTTAAAGGGGCTCTAAATTTTCTTGGAACGTAATCACAATTGATTCAAAAAAAAATTTTTATATAGAGAAAAAAACATAGTTCATTACATAGACAACATCAGGTACATCAAACTCTGAAAGGAACATAAATGAAAATAAACACATAGATACATGGTGGTGATTGAACACCAATGAACAACAACTACAATAGCATGATTGTACTAATCACTGATAATATATGCAAAGATTATTCATTTTTGAATTTTGAGGAATATTATTTCCATCTAGACATTTCAATTTTAAATGTTATAAACTTTATTGTAGTTGTGGTCATGTGAGTCCCTTCTTAGATTTGTTGTTATTTCACGAATAATCTGATAATTCTCCTGTTGTTGCCTTTGGACTTACTGTCTCCGAGTAGAGAAGTTAGGCATTTGAGGATCTTACTTTGTATGAATTGGCCTAAATACTCTAGCCAAATTAACCTTTCCATCTCATCTTTGAGCTAATAACATGCTTCAATATATGACTAATACTTCGATGGAAGTGACATTATTGCTCCTAATTTCTCACATTCAACTTTAATGAATGTGGCCACTTAAGAGTTTCCTTATCTTTACTTGTCATCAGTTTGTCAACATGTGATCTGTTAAGCTACGTGTATTCCTTATTCAAGTAGGATTCTCACTTCTATCACTAAGGGGGAAAACCCTACTTCCCTTGAAGTTTTTAGCCTTTTCATGGAGATGCTTGAACTTCTTTATGAGGTGTTTGTTAAGCTTCCATTCAAGTGACACAAATTATTGTTTATGCATATTAACAACTTTTTTAGTAGAAATTTGTACCTCCACACAGTGAATGAGATAAACATATGAATGAATTTTCTTCAACTTCAATGATCAATATTAAAGACCAGGATGTAGTCTTCCCAAGACTACACCTTTCAGTAACTCTGAATCTACCTCTGAAATCTGATAAGCTTCAATAGAGAATCTCAAAAAATTATTCTTTAACAATCTGCCCCACTTTGGTAAATCCTGTAGAGGTTAAAGGAGACTTTGATGATCCTTCAATTTGTAGTGAATTGCTATGTAAACATATTAGTGAGCTCATCAAAATTATGAATGCTCTCTCTTGAAAGCAAATAAAATCAAGTGTGTTCTTGGGCTTAAAGAGTTGCAGAAAAAAATAAGTGTGTGTTGACCTCACTTTTAGTTGAGGTCTAGAAACTACCTAATAAAGGAGAGCATAATGAGTTTAGTGTATGCATATGATGGTTCTGAAGTGATCCACATGTTCATATGGGTCAGAAGTCTCATCATAAGCATCAATACTCAAAAGCTTAAATCATTTTGGAATGGGGTGATAGAGGACGATCATAACTAGCAATGAATACTCATGGGATTCAAGTCGAGCTGATAAATAGCTCATATCCCTCATATTGAACTCCTCACTAACTAGATCATATCATAACTGGTCATGAATTCCATGAGCTTGAGCTATATTCTTTATATGTGTTGGGGGCTTGCTGTTAGGTTTGACTGTGAGAGGTGGATATGAAGAGCTGGCAATGTCCATGAGCTCAGCTTGTTGAAGAGGAACTTCTATGTATGGAGGTGATGCCAGTTGAGTACCTCTCATTAGAAGGTTTTGAAATAGTTGTGCCCTTCTAATATGTACAACTATCAGTTGTCAAACTTCACATAGGAGTTATAGGTTCTCATTCTGAGATTTTTTTCATTCTTCATACATGATCTTTAAATGATGCCAGGGAAGCTCCCTCACTAGAAGGTTGATTTTTATCATTGAGAACGGGCCAATGGCTTGATGTCCCATACTTCAAGACTATGCCTTGGAATGATGGGTGTTAGCACATGAAAATCACGCATTGGACATTTACGAAGCTTAAACTTCTATAATAGGGTCATGTATCACTTTGTTGGACATTTACGAAGCTTAAACTTCTATAATAGGGTCTTCAGTTTCCACAGATGTATCAAAACTATTACTTGCCAAAAAAATTCACGGCGGTAGGGTAATAACTTTACATCTTAGTGTTGTAAAAAAATCCAACACACAAAAATAATGAGAAAGTAACAAGAGAAGACACTATGACTTTTTAAGTGGAAATGCCCATAAAGGGAAAAAAAACATGCGGCCTAGCCCAATCAAAAGGATCCATTATACCTTTTCAAGTGCAAAAGTAAAATCTATATTCTTTAAACGAGAAAGGGTTACAATGTTGCACCAAATGCATTATTTGTCCATACACAGTATTCAAAAAAGATTAACTGTATTTTGAATACATCAGTCGAGAGCAATTGCCATCGAGAGTTATCATCAGGTTTTTAATACATCTTGTTCCAGGTACGTCGTTGCACCATATTCAGAGATATGTTTTTAGTTAGCTGAGATCTTTGCTAATCAACAAAGTACACTAACGACATCGAGTAGAGGGTAATTGACGGTGGTTGACGGGGGGCGGTCAGTAGTGGTCTGTGCCTATAGAGGTCGAAAGTTATTGTTAGACCTTCAGTCCAAAACGACACTAGAATTGAACTCCTTTTTTCCCTCCTTCCTCCCCTCTTAAATGAAGAGATTGGATCTTTTATAGGCTCTAGAGGAGTGGCATTTTAGTCATTTGGCCAATAACTTCCATAAACACCTGATCAAATGACCCATGTTGATTCTCCTTAATCATAAGTAATTTTCTGATGATCTATTGACCTTAATAACATTGAAATTAGAATATCTTATCGATTCATCTTGTTGAGACACTTAATTTGACTATATACACATCAAATTTGGAGTCCATTAAGGAACCAATAAACCAACTTAAGCCTCCAAAAGTGATGTAATAACTTGATCTGTGCTTGATCTGACTCGCATTGAATAGTTTTTGGTATATTTGGGTTGGCCTCATCGTGCCGGTCAGCTTGACTACCAATTTGATGAAATGAGAGTTCTAGATGATTTTTGATTTGGATAAAAAACATTTCTTGCTAAAAAATGCCTCAAGATCCATGCCAAATGACAAAATTATTTGATGACGCATCAACCTCAAATAGGTTAGGAGGTGTATTATTATAACTTTAGAGAGAATGAAGAGATTGCAAAAGTAAGGTTGAGGATAGATAAAAAAAAAAGAGAGTAGAGTTAGACATGCCAAATTTTGATTGCTATATTGAAAGCCTTTGATTAAGAGATGGATGAGAGTAGCTTGATGAGAGGTTTAGTGGCACAAAAGAAGGTCATGAGGCATCAGATTATTGTAAGAGGATAGAGGTGGCTAGTGACAATGCAAGTTGAGTTAAGAGACTTTGATGGGCTAGTAATAAAAGATGTGGGGCCTTTACATGCATGCCACCTAATTATTATGTATTTATATATTATCAAACATCTAAAGTCTACTTTTTATTTTTATACCACCTAAATCTTTCTTGTCATATAAAAATATCACTATTTTAACTTTAAAAATTTGAAATACACTTTTCATGATAAGGTAACGTAACATAGATGTAAAAATTGAAGTTTAGGAGTCAGATATATAAATATATAAGAATTGAGTGGATTGTTTATATATTTCCTAAGAGATAGGTTTAAATAAAATGTTTCCATTAAAAATATACATTTATTTATATTTATAAATGAATATTTATTTATCTCATAATTATATTGAAATCAATTAGTTTACATGAAACATTTTTTCATTCACATTAAAACTTCAAACCACATATCCCAAGACACAATTTGGTTGAATTTGAAGGAGATAAAAGATAAAATGAATAGATAATGGAAGTAGTGATGACAAAAATTTTGTAATGAAAATAGTTTCCACTCATTTGTAGGATTATGGAGAATCAATGGATAATTTTTTTATTTTATTTTATCATGAGACTTTAATATTTTATTTTGCTATAAAAAGGTCATATAAATCCAATTATTTTTCACTAATAATATATGTATGATTATTAATGCAAAAAAATAAAAAAAAATGATAATTATCTTGGAAGGAAATACAATGCATGAAAATTTACAGTAAAAGCTCTCTCATTTCAAAGTTATTGAATAATTAGGCTTCGTTTGAGAAAACATTTATGATTGTAAATGCTGACATGTAGATTTATTTTCATTTGATAAATCAACATCTCTTTATACTTATCAAAATTATTTTACAGTAATATCATTTTTTATTATTTTAAAATTCATATGTAATGTTCGATGGGCCGTACGGTTTTTAAAGGAGCTTTGTTGATTATAAAACACCATCAAACCAAATCTTAATTATAAAGGGGATTAAAAAATCACTTCATATTTCAAATCTAATTTATGCCCGGTCTAATCTCCATGCCGGTCGAACCGTTTAATATCGGCCGGGCCGACCGGCCTATGACACCATCGGCTTTACGAAAAAAAACGAAAACTAGAAGTAAATGAACGGGAAGTGGGAAGAAGGGAGAGATCTGAGAATCTCTCTTTCTTTGCTTTTCTTCCCCAAATCCCTGATTCAGTTGCCCCCCACCAAAATTTTTGGGCTGATTTCTCGTTTGTCTGTTGTTCATATATTCTTTGATTCAAATTATTTATCCGGAATCGTTAGCGTCTTCTCCCTCTCCACCGTTCTGCAACCTTATTTCCCGCATCGAGATTCGTTACTGGACGATGCCGCAGCTGCGAGGTCCGAAATCGTCGATTTGATTCTAACCGGCTGTCGATACTTGAAGGAATTCGGCTTGGAATTAGCTCCTTCACATGGCTTCGGCGCAGGTCATGACTGATTCCGCTACTTCTTCTCGCAAGCTGGGGCATCTTGAAGCAGGAAAGAAAAAGGTGCAACAGCTTACGTCTAACCGTCTATTTTTTTTTATTCTTGATATTCCACTTTTTTAGGTACCGCGAGCCTTAATTTGAAGCAGTGCAAGTTGTAATTTTGCTATTTCTATATGATCTTTACCTGGACCAAGTTAAACTTTTGTGATTGGGCTTGCCAGGGAAAGGGATGGGATTGGGGAGAGTTTTAGTTACCTCTATGCACGCGCAAACTCTAATGGAATAAAACGGGTATTGGAAATTGTGCGCTGATATTTGAAAAGATCGAATCCTACATTTGCATAAGTTGCTTTCAGATACTTGTATAATCCATACGTATGAAGACTATGCCCTTGCACATGCTTTCTCACAGTCATTATGAGAACATTCATACTTCTTTTATATACTTGCAAGTAAACAAAATCCATTCACATATTTTTTTGTAAAAAGTGAATGCCCATGTCCACATATAAGTTGCTTGTGCATTAATATACAACTTAATACATGTTAATCATCTTAAACAAGAATCCATGTGTAACAAATGGCTATTACCTCACTTCTTAGAACTAAAACGTGCCCACCTTTTGTTTAAGGTTACTTCACTTACTTTCCACGTAAGGAATTGATATTACATTTTCCTTGTTTGTGCTTTCTAAAATTGCTCTTACCTCCAATTTCTTAACCCTTGGTAATGGATTGGGTTAACATTTTATGCAATATCTAAGAATAGGGAAGACAATTGTTATTTAATCAATCATATAAGAAGTGCATGAGCTTGACTATCTATTAGTGTTGTCCAGTTAACCTTTTTTTTGTTTTGCTTTAGCGTATGATTTTGTTATTACTAATATTTTTTTCAAGAAGAGAGATGAACATCTTATTACTTATAAGAATGGATCTATGGATCGAATGGATCTAATAAAACACAAATTGATTATTTTCTTATGGAAGAAGAGATCCTTGAGATTGTAAAGATTGTAAGGTCAGTCCAAGTGAGGATTTAAGTACCCAACATTGTTTATTAGTTCTAGATTTTAAGATGAAGAGTTGTAAAATAAAAAAAAAAAATACTAGGACTCATCATCGTAGCACACTATGAGCATGAGTATTTAATTACAAAGATTTCTTTGGAGAGTTCTTGAGAAGTTAAGGTGTTGATATTACTTCAAGTCATTAAAGATATGTATACTAGAGCTGTTACTTGTGTTCGAACTGAAGGAGGATTGACCAAATATTTTCCTATTTCTGTTTGATTACATCAGGGATCGGCTTTAAGACCATATCTTTTTTCTTTAGTTATGGATGGTCTTATTGGACATTTACAGGAGGATGTACCTTGGTGTATGCTTTTTGCTGATGATATCCTTCTCGTGGATAAGACTAGAGAAAAAGGCCAGGAAAAAACTTGACTTATGGAGGTCTATATTGGAGTCTAAAGGCCTTCATTTGAGTATAACTAAACCTGAATACATGGAATGTAGTTTTAGTAGTAGTAGCTCTAGTGACAAGTGTAAATTTGGGTGATCAAATTATTAAAAGGTGTGAACGATTTAAATTTCTTGGGTCTGTTGTTCAAAGCAATGGTGATATAGATGGGGATGTTAATAGTAGAATTCAAGTTGGTTGTTTGAACTGGAGGAATGCTTTGGGCCTTTTGTGTGATAGAAAAAGTACCGCTTAGATTGAAAGGAAAATTTTATAAGACGGTGGTGAGACCTGCAATGCTCTATGGCACGGAATGTTGGCCTTTAAAAGAGAAGCATAATACAAAGTTAATTGTTGCCGACATGAGAATGATTAGGTGGATGAGTGGCATTACACTTAGAGATAAAATGTGAAATGAATATATCCGTGATAGGGTTGGTGTAGCTCTTGTGACGGACAAAATTAGAGAAAGTCGTCTTAGATGGTCACATTCAACGTCGACCATCTGATGATCCAGTTAGGAGACTAGAAGTTTTAGATTCGACTTGTGTTAAGAAAGGCAGAGGTAGACCTAGGAAGACTTGGGCTTATATGATCTTAATGTATTAGAACCAAATGAAAATATGACACTAAATAGGATGCAATGGAGAAAAAGGATTCATGTAGTCGACACCACGTAGTGGGATTAAGGCTTGGGATTAAGGCTTTGTTGTTGTTGTTGTTGTTGTATATTTTAGTTGTATAACTCTTATGGTTTGTCGAATATAGTTTAGTACATTTGCTTTATAAAATATCAAAGTGGTAATCAAGTTTTTATATATAGGATAATCAAGACTTATTATTTAAAATATAGGATAAATCAGTATCAATGCACTTGACAAGTTTTAATTATGGATATTGAATGCTTTTGCCGGATTCATGCTCATAGTACTCCAAAATTTGGCTAAATTACAACAAAACTTTCATATATTCACCTCTTCTCATCAATCAACTCAAGTATCTTTAGAGTAATACATTTTTTGATGTAATAATTGGTGTAGAAATCTAACCATCAAAATCTTGCTTCATTTTTTTCAATAATTTTCATATAGTGTTGTTTAACCCCATTTTCAGTTACAAATTGATAATTTAAGGTGATGATATAACTCTAGTGGGAGGTTTGCACAGCTTTAGAATAAAGACAAAACTCACCAAAAGTATTCGATCAATTGAGTATCTAAGATATGCAAATTCTATAGCTATGAATTATGACAATGATTTGCAAATGGTGACAAATGGCAAGTGATAAAATGATAATTTTGAGTTCTAATCATATGATTGGGTCAATATTTCTAACTTTGTTAAAAACAATGAAGCTTTAATTATAAACATATACAATTACTTTGTTGGCGTAATCACTTGCTCATATATGTTTTATGTGGATTCTATTTTCATCTTACTAAGCTTCAATTGACTAACATGCCCTAATTACAGTATTGTCATCAACTATTACGATAGGGTAATCATATTCTTATTTTTGGCACTTATGTGATTGTGTCGTGACACTGTACAAATATTTAGAGATGCCCAACTTATAAATCTTGTAATCTAAATCTGTATCCCAAAAAGAAGAAAAAGGACTTGCATTTGTGGCTGTTGTAATTGCCATATTGCAGTTGTCTGTAACAGGTGTAATGAATTTCTGAACTAGTAAATTTGTGTATTCACAATGCATTGGAAAAGGTATAATTGATTCTGAAAGAAAGACAGCCTCATAGGTTTTGATAATTTTGTATTCTTTAGGGCTCCCAAGAAAATGTCCCTTGCATCTTTTCCCCAGCATTGCCAGCAACTTGTCTTAGGCATTAAAAGATTCTTATTTTTTCTTATTATTACAACACTGGTGATTGCTTTGGCATCAATCATAATCAGCTGTGATGACATTCAAAAGGTGAATGGTGTTGACAGTTGTTCTCTCCCAATCGTGTCCCTTGCCCTTAAGCTTTCTTTCTCAGATAAGTCAATCAAACATCCCCACAGGAATAAATTCCAACCACTTGCAAGTCTTAAGAGAAGTAGTGTCTATTAAATGTTCAAGAAAGAAAAATATTCGGAGCTTAGTGCCTTAGATGAACTGGTAGGACTGTTTCTTGGCTTAACAAGTTTGCTGAAGTCTATGACGGAAAGGTTCTTGGCACTTTTTGCTATGGAAGAATTTCTACAGGAACTGTGGGCAATCCTCTAAAGGCTCTTCTTGCCCCTGCTTGTTCTGCTGCAGCTTATATTGGTCAGCCTTCGGAAGATGGATTATGAAAGTAAGAGTTTTTTCAAGTGTAAAATTTAAATTGTGGCGGAATCTTGGGCTCCACTATGATCACAGATTCTCTGGAATGATTTTTTCTAGCACTATTTTGGATTATTTGCTTCAAGACATTGGTAGAGAGCCACTTGAAATCGTGATGGTAGGGCCAGGATAGATTTTGGAGAAGGTAAATATGCTGCGATGATTGATTTTTCTGAAAGCCCAGACTCAACTATGATCTCACTCTCTCCTTACCCTTCAAACATTTGGGGAATCCACCCCAGAACAAGGAATCATCCCTTCAATAAGGTAAAACCAGTAATCACACTCTTCCCGAAACTTCCCTTTATACTTAAAGGAAGGTTAAACAAGTTATGCCTAAAAACACCTAGACCACTTAATTACTAAATTACCTCTAAAAAAAATTTAAAAATGAGGTCTTCCAATAAACCCACCTATCAGGTTATCAGTATGTCATGTAGTGCATAAATTGATCCCAATTCCTATTTTGGCTTTGTGCATTAAACATTATACTAAAAGAGAAGCACACGTGCCACAATAATTGTTAAAAGGTACATGTGATTCTTACATTTGGATGCCATACCCATTACCATTATTTTTATAACCTTTTTTTTTATGACCAATGCTGTATTTTGGATGTTAATTATTGCATTAGCATTGAATTTGTTTTGCTTTATGTGCCTTTTTTATGTCATTTTGCCCTTAGTTGTCTTTATGTTAATGGCTGCTTGTCAAAAATATCACGTGTGATTTAGGACTCAAATTCTACTTTTGCTTATTTATTGTAGGCATTCTTTTCATTTTACCATAGGACTCCTCCTACAAAAGAATTCCTTACGGTTATTATGAAGAGTGATTTATTATTATTGCTATTGAAGGTAAAATAGTTTATGGCTACATCGAGTATTTTACCCCTTCTCAAATCATGGATGTTGAAGTTTCCATCTCTTGTGCTTTGAGGATTTAAAACAGTCTTGAGAATACAGAAATCTTAAGCTTGGAAGATTTAATATCAAATAACATCTGGAGTGTTAAAACCCTTTTTCTACCCAAAATCTTGAGCCTATAATAGAGAGTCAACCCCTTGGTATTTCTATGCCAACATATTTTAAGTTAGCCATTGTGATGTTGAAACCATAAATTAGAAACAGTACTTTTAGCGTAGGATTGAAGCAACACTAATTATGTAGAATATTAAAATGATTTTTTTGCAATACATGAATTTATTGTATCAATATTTTAAAGAATGTTTAACTTTTAGCACTGCATGTGGTCGTATATTGGCTGCTATTGAATATGGAAGCACCTTTTTATCACTGAAGGATTATGCATCTCTTAATTTTATTAATAACAAATAGTTTTGAATGTTCGGTTTATATCTCTTGAATTATAGTAACGAGTAAACCATGACCTGTTGCTAGGATGCTATTAACTTTCAGACACTTGTAAAATTAGTTGGCAGCATATGCAGAATCCATGATAGAAGGGCTCAATGACATGAGCCATAGGATAACATTTCTAGCTATTATTCTACATGCTAATTGAAATGCTTGTCCTCCATGTTTATCATCGTGGTAATCCTTCTAAGTTTTAGTATTTTTTGGTTAAAGAAGTAAGAATTGTTATATAATTTATTCTCCTTTATTAGTTGGAAGAATTTCGCAAAAGGAAGGCAGAAGGGAGGGCTAAGAAAGCTGGATCTACTGGACAATTGCAGTCAATTGATGAGGTAAGTATTGAAAAATCTTCTCAGAATAAGGAACATCAGGCAGATACAACAAATTCCAGTACGAGCGCTGGTTTTTCTGGGTCCCATACAACTCCAGTGCAAAAAGAAGTAGTCTCTTCTACTGATAAACACGTGATTTCCTCAAATGAAAGCGCTCAGATGTTTAACTCATTTGAGAAGTCCAGCTACACAGGTTTAGTTAATGGTTATCATGAGGACTGGAAAGAGAGAAGTGAGCTTAGTGACACTGAACAATCCAAGTATGAAACAGCATCTATTGCTATATCAGGCCAGTTTACTGCTTTTGGCTCAGTTCACACAGATGTTAATCCTGATGAGGGTTTGGTCAGCTCGAGTCTTTACTCTCCTCCATTATATGAAAGCAGGACTTCTTCAGCTCGAGTGAGTTATCTTAATGCATCTAATACTGCTAGTTTACAGAAAGCTGAGAGTGCTTCTGTAGAAAGCAGGTTGGGGCTGCCCAGCACCTCGTTGAGTTCATCTTTAACCTCCAATGGTAAAATCTACTTTATTTTCTTTGCCATTAGTTTGTTTCCCTTATTTATTTGAATGAATTTTTTATTTTATGGAGTTTTAACCATTTTTTTTTTCATCAACTTGGTGAGTAGACTCAGTACCTGGGTTGGGGATTTTTAAGCCTGTTAGCTTTAACAATAAAGGCCTTGTGGATACTCACGTAGGACGGAAGACAATATCTGAATCCATTAACCAACGCCTTAACCTAGGAAGTGCATCTCTGCATTCATCAGAACCTTCTCCAATAGACTCGAGCCTGCCAATCAGAAGATCACGGGAAGCTCATTTATCCTCTTCAACTGGCTATGAAGTGACTTCTAGTCGAACTCGCCAATCTTTTCTTGATACTCTTGGAGTATCTAGGGCCTCGCCAACAGCCCATGTGCCACTTTATGAACTTCATAAAGCTAATCTACCTGTTTCTTCTAGTGATTCAGTGGTCCAGAGTGCAGATGTTCATTTTCCTTCCCATCAACAGCCATTTACTAATGCGAACAGTGTGCAAAAACCTTCAAGTTCATCACCATCAGTATTGGTTGATGAAAAGGTGAATTCTTTTGCTTCATCAAATGACAAATTAATGCTGGAGACAAGCGGGGAATACTTACAAGGGGGGCATGAGCTTTTGGTTCCAAAGAAAGATGAAGATTTTTCAGCCCTTGAGCAGGTGCGCTTTATATATTCTGCAGTTGTAACTATGTTATAGCTTTGAGACATTTAACTTTCTACTATGTTTATTATTCCGTGAAGCATTAAATACCGATTTTTGATTAATTTACTTACTACCATTACTCAAATCTTTTAAGGTATTTCCCTATGTTGTTGCAGCAGAAAGTCCTTACATTTGAACTGTTTTGATAATTTGGGTTGGAATGAGGTTATGATGGATTAAAATGATGTTGAGCTAGTTTATCTCTCCATCTTGATGAAAGTGGACCTTTTCCGTTGCTTTTATTTGTAATAGCAATAGTTTTATATTTAAAGGAATGCAGCGTGAAGAGAACATCTAAATGGTTCTCTGCCTGTCAATAATTGGCATTATTGATGACACCGTTCTAGGGCTCATAGAAGGCGCGGGGAAGCAGATTTAGAGTGGTGGCTGGGTAATAGCCAAGGAGATATTATGTGAGGTGGATGGTTTTCAAAGAGAGTAAGTGATGAAATATGCTGTTGAGCTGCAGATTTGAGCTGTTTGGCGGCAGTCCTTGCTCAAAACAGTGAGGTGGATGATGAGAAAGTGTGGTATGGGCTGCGAGGAGGTTCACCACCTATTCTTGAGCAAGATATAGACACTATTTGCAAAAGGAAGAGGATGCAGCACTATTAAAGCAGGAAATTGAAGAAGACATATCCAAAACACATAAACAAAACCAAAAGTCTGCCAATAACAAGAAATAACAAAATATAAAAGTTCCCTCTAAAAAACCCCAAATTCTATTTAATAAATATTGAATATGGGTCCACATGGGCTGACGACTATTGCACGCGGAAAAATCCTAGGATAGCGATCCTAATGGGACCGCACAAGATCCTTTCTTGTTTGGATGTAGGATCGCGAGATCGATGGAACCCATGAAGTCGTGAAATCTCGCAAAAACAGGATTGTGTATCTTGTGCAGGACACTCCCACATTAGTCAAACTTTTAGTTTTTAAGCTAGTCTTATTGGAGGTGCACACTAAGTCTATTATTCCTATGTATTAGCTATGTTCCACATTAGTGTCCTGCACATTATTGGAGGTGCACACTAGTCAAACTTTTGCTGTTCCATTAGCATCACCTACTAGCAGTAGCTCAAGTGGTACTGATCTAACACCCTATAGATGCTGTGACTTTCGATAACTCTAGAATTATTATTGTTTTAGTTGTGTGAAAGTGCTATGAGACAATGTGCAGTTTCCTTTTTGGTTTCTGTGGTTAAGCCTTATATTGACACTTCATCTCATCATTGTCTCATATAGTTGTGGATATTTGCTTTCAGTGTCTAACTTTCAATATACTGAGGAAACAAAGAGACTAAGGGTCTATTTAAGATCACTTTTGTTTTTTTGTTTTCTATTTGTGTTTTTATTTTGCTTTGTTTATGTTTTGATTTGAAGCAAAAGTTGTTTATTATGTTGAAAACAAATCAACTTGTTTTGAGTGTTTTTAAAATCAATTTGGTTTGTTTTTAAAATAAAAAAATAAAATCATATAAAAAACACACCAAATAAAACATCTTTCAAAAGATAAAACCATAATAAAAAGCAAATCCAAAACTTAAAATTGATCCTAAATAGGCCCCAAGTCTCTTGATACATGGCTCACCAAAATAGTTTCGTGTGCTAATTATGTTCATCAAACAACCACCAAAGTTTTGTGATGATGGTAAGGAGAAGTTGAAACTAACAGTAATCATTAAGTTATTCATAATCTAGTAAAAGAGAGATTTGAGCAGAAATTATTTTTTGGGGGTCAAGTTACTGATGTTGTTGTACTGTGTTTTTGGGAGGCAGTGCTAACTATTTTGGCATGATTTCATGAGATTTTTAGAAATAATTTTGTCTGGAAGCAAGCTTGTCTTCATTTATAATATGGTTATGCTCACCTTCTGGCAAGTTGTGAAGGCAAATTCCTAATTTAGATTTCAGAAGGCGAACTTATGTGTAACTAACTTTCTATAAGCATGTTACCAAAAATCATGCTTAGTCAGCCTATTGCCTAGCACACAGTTTATTTGAAGAAGCCTTGTCTACTCTTTGGTAATTGCTTTACCTTCTTCCCAAGTTTTTTTTCATAACTATTTCCTTTAAGGGCGTCTCACTGATCCAAAATTGATGTGGTTGTATAAAGAAAATGATTCACATACTTTTTAGGTGTGCTACACTCTTTGAGCATACAACATACATTTTTTATTTTGTATGAACAAATGTGCAACATGGAAGCTGTTTTGGTGACAGGCTTGCTAAATTATAAGATCTATTGTGTAAGCCGAGACTTCACATTCGTTTTATTACTTTCAATTTGTTTCATATTAATGATTGATATTAGATTTGCATTTTGGAAGTTAATTCTAAGGGTTTTTTACGAGAGTGTTAATTTAGACTTATTTATTTTCTCATTTTTCTACTATTCTATAATTCTTTTGCATTTTTAGCCTGACATTTATAGGGTCATGTTCTGTTCTATTATTATAATAATAATTATTGCAATCAACTATTAGGGTTTAGCATTGTGAATGTTCATTTTGATTTCATCCCTATTGAGTGTTCTTTTCGGTTTTAAACATATTTTTTATAAGAAAATTGAAAAACTTGTATCCATGTTTTCTTAGTTCTATATATATATAGACACACACACATACACACCAATCCTTTGATACCAATTTTATCAACTTGTCAAATGAACATTTTCTGCTCTTCATTGAATGCCTAAACCACCTAAAGTTTCTTTTGTCGCATCATTTTCAATTGATGCCACTATGACTTTTTCTCTAATATAATCAATCCTTAATTTATCTACTATAGTTTTATCTTACATATATTCTTCTTTATAATACATTAAGCTTAACCATCAATTACTTTTATTATTTCACATTTGATTAATACAACTTCTGCCTACTTATGATTTTAAGACATTTTCTTTTTCTTAAAACTTTGTGATATTCTCATCACAGAACTCTTGAGGTACTTTTCTATTCTAACCGTCTAGCTTTAATTCTAGAGATTATTTCTTTTGCATGTCTTCATTCTTCTTTATAATATATCCAAATTATTTAAATTTATTACAACTTGACATTACATTATCTTCTAATAATATTAAATGATGATTATTAATACTATACTCATTAAAATTATGTATGATTTTCTCAATCTTTGTTCTACTAATTTTAAGGCCTCTATCTTCTAAATGTTTTTTTGCACTTTTCATATTTTTATTAATTTTACTTGGTTTCTCACGAATTAGAATTATATCAACTACAAAAATTATATTGCATGACACCTTACTTATTTTGAATATTTTCCTATAAGCATATTCATTAAAAAAGTAATATGATTCAATGTCGATCTTTGATGTGCAACTATGGTATTAAAAAAAATTTGGTTAACTGCACAACTACTTTTAATACTAGTTAATGCTTCGTTATATATATTTTTAGTAACTTCAATACATCCTTGACATGCACCTTTTTCTCTTAGGGGCTATTTGATTTGGTTGCTAGTATTAAAGCTACAGAGTTAAAGGTTCTTTTGCTCTTTAATTTTTTATTTTTATTTTATTTTATTTATTTTTTGGGTTGGTTTGAGCAAATGTGTTTGCAAAGTAAAATTTCGAGGGCTTTACCTTGAATGGCCTATTTTTCTTATAAAGAAAATTTCTTGATTGAGGCCCGTGGTGTTACCCTTGCCCTCATAATGGCGATTCCTTCTCTCTGCATCTCTCTCCTTTTTGTACTTCTCATGCATTTTTCTTTTCTTTTCACACCCTCTATAATAAAAGTCCAAAAGCTTAGTTCCTTAAACCACTCACTTTGCTCCACTTTGCTCGTAGTCTCATTGTCGGTGCACACAAATATTTAACGCAGTCTTAGTGTTCACGGATTCTAATTTCAAATTTTATTATATGCCTAAGTATTTATTGAATTTTGCCTTTTTTTAAAAACATTATTTTCTTTAATAAGCCTTTTTTTTTACATCACACCACCAGGAAATCTATTTTTAAACTTTCCTAAAACTTCTGTAGCAATTTTCTTAGTGAAACTAATCATCTTATCCCATATTAGGTTTGACTTGATTAAACAATTCCAATTTATATCTTTTTTAAGCCTATTTTGAGAGATTAATAATTTCTTATCTTTTAGTTCAACCAACTTATATTTGAGCTATAATTTTTTGTTTCTTTATACTTTAAAGATACATGTACTCAACTACTATCCTATGCTATGTGTTTAAGTTTCTTTTTGGAATCGCCTTACAATTTCTTCAGGAAGATTTTTCTTGTCCTTTTGGATATTTCTTTTAGATGGTTATGCAGAGGGTTTTGAAGGAAATTACTTTGCGAGGTGTGATTACTTAATGCTCAACTATTGTGTGACATCATTGGGCATTCCATATGCAAAATCCTTGCTAAAATGGTTTGGGAAAGGTTTAGTGTTTATAGTTTTATTATTTCATTTCAAAGAGGTTGGTTCTGTGATTCGCCGATGATTAGGTCTATGTGGAACGAACTTTGCCATTGCCTCTATGAACTTACATACTTACTGTATGAGGAACATGCGAGCATTGAGATCTAGGGATCCGCTAGAAAGCTCTATCCTAGTGGATTTGGGGAGGGGTTGATTAACACACTTTTGTCCTATGTTGCAAACTGATTGTTTCAACTATACAAATTTTTGCCCTTTCTTACAAATTGTTTCAGTATTTCAAATCATTGGATAAGTGAGAGCAGCTACTTAATGTTCCTACAGCATGAAGTTGATACTAAATTAGGATTTGAGAGTGGTTGATATGCTTACCTTGCATTGTTTTCTTTTGAGCATGTGACCTCCAAATAATAACGGAAGATTCCATACCGCTTCCTCCCAGATATTTCTGAATAATAGTATTCTACTTATTCTCATTACTCCTATTATTATTTTTTACTTTTTTTTTCTGTTTTTTAACTGATGATGATTATCATCATCATCTTGATTATTATTATTATTATTCATCTTATTCATCTTCTCTGGCGTACTATTTGAAGTGTGACCAAACATGTTTTCTCATTTGGCTTACATTATATCTAAGCTAATCACGAAGATATTTCAATGAATTCCTGCTAAAATTGATAAAGAAATGAAAAACAAAATTGCTGCTGGGAAAATTGAGAGCAATTTATAAGTTAGATATTCTTAAATGCTGTCAAATTCCCATTGCTTGATGATAATTTTTTTTGTCTGCAGTGTTTTGATCATTTGTTAATGGATAGGAATACTAATTAAGTTTTCTGTTGTCTAAAGTTGAATTGCTGTTGTTTTGAGGCTTGATCGAGGTCTGATATCACACCTCTTCATGCCTCAAGGTGATTGTTGATGGAGAGATTTTTGTGGCTTTGCAAATAGCAATATGATGTATGTTTTTGAAAGTGTGCATTGATTTGTACCTCTTATCCTTGTCGTTCTGTTATCATTTTTCTTCTTGCTGCCCCCCTCCACGCTTTGCCCTCTCTCCTCTTTAGTCTTTTAGCTTTATTATTTTACCATTTTCTTGAACAAGACTGTTGCTGCGGGCCACTCTTTCACCTAGATACAGTTATTCGGCTGTGCTTTTTGCAGCTTTATTTTTCTTTAAGCCGAAGCATTTTTGGGATCCGTTTAATGGGATAGTTCAATCTACAATTTGTTATTGAAGAGATGTTCCATTGCAAGGGAATAAAGTAGGTGTCACTCTATTTAGAGATCACCGGTTACTTCTTTTGCCTTCACTTAAGTGTGGACTTTTTTTCTTTTTGTTTAGCTCTGTGATGGATTCTGTAGACTCTTTCCTTCTGACACTTATTACTTTGTTTTCTCTTTTTAGCACCGTGTAACTCTTGTTTCATGTAGTTTGGAGTTCTAAGCCACTTTCAGTTTGACATGTATTTCATTGTATGTATTTTAATATTATTGCTAGACTGCAGCTTGAAAGGCAAATCAATTGGTTTTTAATATTATCTAGCTTGATGGAACTCGCAGTTTTTCTTCTTACTGTTAATAAATGAATTTCTTTTCTGCGGAGATGCCATATTTTTGAAGTATTTAGAATTTTATTTCTTGAGGTTCACTTTTGTAGAAAGTTTACCTGGTTAGGTATATATGTTCTGTTTGTTTCCTTTTGGTGTTGGCTGATTATGAAGGGGGCGCTGTTTGTTATTAAATCCACCAATGAAGAATTATTCTCTTTTTTTTTTTTTTTGAGAACTTTCATTTTTTATATTATTAAATGGAGACGGATGGAACAGTAGCTTATTTTTCATCATGATCTGAAGACGCATTCGGATCTCTCATCTCACTTGCATAGTCTTAGCTGTAAAATTTAGGTCTTATAGTGCCAATAAATGCACCATTGTGTTTCTTCTAATGTTATGTTATTTTCTATGTGAAATATTGTTAGATTGTGAGATTTTATGGATGTGAATTTAGCTTGAAGTTTGTTTTAAATTTTATCGACTTTTTGCTTGGATCCACTTTAGATTGAAATCTTTGAGCGGACTAATGAGCCAGGTTTGATTTGGATAGATCCTGAATTGAGCCAAGTTTGGATTAGTTGTAATGTAAGTGCACATATGAATCTATTTATGTGCGCATACATTTATTTATGCATTTAGATTTAAATTAATGTATATTTGCTCATCAAAATTTATATGTATGACTTTTTATGTATGCGAGTCTTTGCCTGTTTGACGAAGAATTTATCCTAGAGATCCAATCAAAACTGGATCAACATTTAGTTTGCTGAATCATGTTTGAATCAATGTTGATAAGCAAATTGTTCCTGAGATGAGTTTGTATCGACTTATGATCGATTTGAGCAGGATGCAAAGTTGTTATGTGGATAGAACTAGTTTAAGAGAAAAAAAGGACAAAGATGCAACCTAAGACTTATAAAAACTTCGTATGAATGCTCATATAGTATTATTGTTATCAAGTTATGGCTTTAGCCAAAAAAAAAAAAACCTCTTGAATCCTACTCAAGAAAGTTTGTTTGCCTCATCTTGTTTGTGCTTAAGTTGTGTTGAAGTCAGTTTGTAGATATCTTGAAAGGAGTGATCTCAATTAACGTTTACACATGCTTGGTGGCAACCCTTCGCTCATTTTTACTAAAATGCAAACTTTTTTTTTTAAATAGGTTTGGTGTACATGCAATTTTTAGTGCAATATTTATACTTTAATAATGAAATTTAGGCACTTTTTGTTACCGGAGAAGGGGGATTAGAGAAGATTCAGCAATAACAACCAATAAAGCAATTCGAGACAGGAATAAAAATAATCAAAACAAAGATAGGATGCACTAATAAAATAAAATATACAAGATGCAACCGATCTAGATAGATAAATTATCACACGTAGGATAGACGAAGGAAGGAGACCCAAAATGCCACCACCAATAATAGAGGGATATAGTTGCCACCACCCAATGTCATGGATACAGCCTCGTCCCTATCTAGGAACCACAAAGATAGCACAAACCTTCACAGAACTCAAATGAAGAAAATACCCCCAATATAATAAACAACTACATATTTATAATCAACAAAGAATCTAAACCTAATAAAAACAAACAGAAGAAAATAACTCTGCTGCCATTAGGAGTAGGCAACTACCCTAGCCCTAGAGAGAGGGCCGATCGACCCTCTCCCACTTTGATTGAACCGGTTCGGGGTTCCGTCCCTGCCCCGCATCAATCCAAGGTTGATGGAGCCTCTACCTCATCTGTTGAAGCTTTTGAATCCTCATGACATTGTGTCAGGTCTACCTTGTTGAATGTGGCAGAGTTGTTGTAACCTCTAGGGATTGGAGGGCCTTTGAATTTCGACATTTGTCTCATTGGTGACATGATTAGGGTTTTGGTTTTGGAGGTGAAAGAGGTGTATGAGGCTGATTTAGGTTGTAGAACAATTATTTAGGGTTATTGATTTTGAAAATTAGTAAGGGGGGATTAGTGTTAGGTCAAGATTTGGCTATGATTTTGTGGGTTTATGTTTGGGAGGATTTTGATAACCCTAGATGGAACTAGGTTTAGGCTAGCTTTGATATTAAATGATACCGGAAAAGGGGGTTGGAGAATATTTAGCAAGGACAACCAAGAAAGCAATCCGCGATAATAAAAAACAGCCAAAACAAAGGCGAGATACACTAATCAAATAAAACATATACGATACAAGAGTTTTCTACTCTCACAATCAATCAGAATATAGTAATTATCACCCAAAGGTTAATGAAGGAATGTGGCTCTGGATGTCACCACCAACAATCGAGAGATACGCTTGCTACCGCCCAATGCCATGGATACAGACTTGTCTCCATCAGAGAGCCACAAAGGGAACATAGACCATCACTGAACTCAAATGAACAAAGGACCCCTAATACAATAAACGACTGCATATTTATAATCATCAAAGCAACTAAACCTACTCAAAACAAACAGATGAAATACCGCTGTTGCTATTAGGAGTTGGCGGCAACCCTAGCCCTAGAGAGAAGGCCGGATGGATGAAAATACCCTTGTTGCTAGGAGTTAGCGGCAACCTAGTCCTAGAGAGAGCTCTCCCACTTGGACCGAATCGGTCCGGGTTCCCCTCGCTGTCCCGCATCACTTCTTGTTAATATTTTTTTGTTCCAAAGTCAAAAGATACTTCCCATGTATTGTTATTGAATGGCTTTTTGCATATCAGTGTTTTTCATTCTTTCGTTTAATGAATATATTTTGGCACCTTTCTCGAGCTAACGCATATCCATTTTCTTACTTTAAAGAGTTCCTAACTCGCAATTTGTACGGTTCGAAAGGAAAGGAGATTTTTTACAGAGAAATGCTGCTTAATCATTCAGTACTAGATAAAGAGCTTAATTGATTGATTGAAAGCCTTATTTTCTTAGAAAATATTGTAATATATTAATATCTGTTAGTTGTTGGAGTAAATGTAAAGATTCAGATGGTTTACAAATTTTGATGGAATGTGAATGAAAAATCAATGTATTTCAGTTCATGCCAATTTGTCAATACATGCCTCATGTGGTCCTTGTGGAATTGATGTATCCTGAAATGATTAAAATATGCATATCATTAATGTGGAATACGTGTTGGTATCTATATACTAATTTGTCATATAAATTCTTGTTTTCAATTAAATTATGCTTGCTGATTACATTTCTTCATGGAAATATACCAAGCTTTTTTTCACGAGCCTTTGTTTTTCTTTCTGATGCAGCACATTGAAGATTTGACACAAGAGAAGTTTACCTTTCAGAGAGCTCTGGATGCATCACGCACATTGGCAGACTCATTGGCAGCTGAAAATTCATCTTTAACGGAAACTCATAATCATCAGGTCCCTTTTTCATCAAACTTAGGCCTTAATCTTTGAAGCTAGGAATGGATTTTTGCCTTATGTACTGCTAGTAGCAAACTAGTTGATTAGTAATTTTTATCTATTTTGTGCATTTTGACTTTTTTACATATTATACTTGAATTTATCAGTGCTAAAACTATTTTTTCAGGAGTTTTTCCTGTTTATGATCGTATCCTATGGTTTTCTTTGTTATTTGATTTTGAACATAGAATCCACTTGCTACATAATCCACTAATAAGATATTGTTGAAAAGTGAGAACCTATTGTCTTCGAATCTGGATGATAGAGTAAGGAGATTATGCTAACCTAATCCTTTTTTTTTTATGTTGGGTTATTATAGCTTGGCTTCTTTCTATGGTATCTTTGCTACTCTTTTTAGTGATGAGGGGTCATATAAGGAAGATTGCTTCTGATGCCGCAATGGGCCAGCAGGGAGAAACAGGGAGTGAATTTCCACCGGGAGTGAAATTGAAGTGAGGATGGGAGAGGGAGATATAATTTCAATTCATTCATTAATTGGTCCATGTTATAAACTAGAGTTGGGACATAAAATCAAATATATTCCTATCCGGTTACAACGTATAATCAAATATAATCCTTTCTAGAATTAAATTTAATTGTAATTAGTTCAAATTTAAATCTAAAATTATTTAAATGGATAATTTATCCTAATTTAAAATAAAATTAATCTAAATATCGTAATAAATTTAATAAAATCCTGAAATATTAGAAATAATCTAATCCTGATTTCTTGTGCTGCATTAGTTTCATTTGCTTATTCCAGTTGTTTTATTCAACTTAACAGTCAGTTGTCACCCAAAATTTATTTTTTAAGAAGTGCAGAACCATGATTGATAGAGAAAAAAGAAGAGTTGCCTATGAATTTGGGATTCTTTTTTTGTTTTTTTGTTTTTCCAATGGGTTTGTCCTTCGTGTTATGACATTGTAGCACAGACATCTTAATTGTTGTGTTGATGAAATTATGGAGGTTCAACTGATTCGAATTGAATTTGTATTTCGTGTTTATCTTTTGGTTATGATTTGATTTTGTGAGGTCTGTGGATTTAATGGGATTATATGCTTCATCGTTCTAACATGATGGATAGATTGAACGAGCTAAGCATTTTAAGAGTTGTCATTAAATGCACTAAATGTAAGAACCTGATGGTTTTCTTAAGAGTTGTCATTAAATGCACTAAATGTATTTAATGACAACTCTTAAATTAAATGCACTAAATGTAAGAACCTGATGGTTTTCAAACTTTTGTTTCCCTTAAGAGGAATTTTGTTTGGAGGAGTTCTGAGTGTAAACTAAATGTAGGGGTTTTATTTTGTTGGAAGAGAATTAAATGCTAAATAATTAATTCAAAATTTGGAATCTCCCTCCTGTTCATTTTTTTATTCCAAAACCACCAAATTTGGACTATTTCAATTACATTGGCTCTCTCTTTGCACTTGTTGCTGGCCTCCTCCATTGTTTATGCTAAATAATTAATTCAAAATTTGGAATCTCCCTCCTGTTCATTTTTTATTCCAAAACTACCAAATTTGGACAATTTCAATTATATTGGCTCTCTCTTTGCACTTGTTGCTGGCCTCCTCCATTGTTTTTGCTGTCGTTGCTAGTCACCCTTGCTATTATTTCATTGTTTATAGCAAGGGCTTGTCGGTCAATTTTTTCGATTGATAGATTTAGATTTTGAAAATATGAAAATATGAAAATAATTTTTGAGATTTAATTTAAGTATAATAGATATATATAGTTTGAGTTTTGAAAGTAGTATGTTTTATTTTTTTTAAAATGAGACCAAGTGGATCTCATTCGTCCAATAGTTTGCATAATCGTGTCTGATACCGCGAATACTACACCCTCCCGAAAGATAAGTGTAGACCTCGGCGATAGACCCAATCCTGCAAACTAAGAGATTTGTGACATCCGTTTAGTCTGCGAACCTTTTATATATG